GTAATAATTATTGTACATACTTATTCCACATGATTCCGATACATAACGACGAATGGTACGATGATGAAATTCATTCTCACAAAAACGACCAAAATATCCGGATGTACATTCACAAGTGAAATTTAACCAATGTTGACGACATACACCACCATGGCGACAAGTAATATTATGACAAAAATCAACGAGAAGTTCACAATTTTTACTATGCCAACCTTCCATACAATCACAACGAAATTCTGTAGTTGAAATATTAACGCAAGTACCATTGTGCCAACAGGTAGTTGGTTTACATATTCGAACATCAATTTCACAATCATGACCATTAAAATCGGATCCACAATCACAAAAATAACCAAGATTATATTGACTATCATCATGACATGTACGATTATTTTGACATGGTCGAAGAACAAGACATGGATCAAAGGACAAACGATTATTCGTAGAAATTGTAGAAACAGATGAATCTAATAATGAACTGAAAAATGATGTTGTTGCTTCCGTTGTTATCAATTCACTATCATTAGTATTTATCCAATCAGGTAACCAATCTATGTTTATAAACGAATACTCCATTTTTTTACCTATTAGTCAAAATAACTCCTACCTTGATTATTCGTACAATCACGTACAAATATTTGCAACTTAACATTATATGGTATACTCAATGGTATTGCTGTTAAATTAATTAATAAGCCCCAAATAGTGACATTTTTCTGTGATGATATGATAATTGTATTATTATTAGATTGAGATACATATGTTAACATTAGTCCATTAATATCGTTTAGAATGGAATTGTTTTCGAGGAGAAATAGAACGGAAATATTTTCAACATTGGTTATATAGTCTGGATCAAGTCGAATTGTAGAGAGTACATAAGAATTTGGATTACCTAATGTATTCATTGACATTGGATATTGAAATCGAAGTTTAATTACCGCTAATGATGTACTAAAATTCATTCCTTCTTCATTACGATTTAATATAAATGATAAAGGTGTTTTAATCTTTGGAATAGTAGTAATATTATGCACCATATTTAAATCATTATTCATTATATTCATACTATCATTACATTGAGAACAATCTAGATAATATGAGAACAGTATTATATGATTATATCAATGTATGTTTATTGAGTACTTACCCAAATATTCAATCCATATACTTGAACATGATATGTTGCCTTGAGAGAATGAATGCACAGTGAATCCAAACGCCCAGATCGGAGAACTACTATTCCATGTAAAATTTGTCAAAAGAGTAGGTATATTNTAATTATTGTACATACTTATTCCACATGATTCCGATACATAACGACGAATGGTACGATGATGAAATTCATTCTCACAAAAACGACCAAAATATCCGGATGTACATTCACAAGTGAAATTTAGCCAATGTTTACGACATACACCACCATGGCGACAAGTAATATTATGACAAAAATCAACGAGAAGTTCACAATTTTTACTATACCAACCTTCCATACAATCACAACGGAATTCTGTAGTTGAAATATTAACGCAAGTACCATTGTGCCAACAAGTAGTTGGTTTACATATTCGAACATCAATTTCACAATCATGACCATTAAAATCGGATCCACAATCACAAGAATAACCAAGATTATATTGACTATCATCATGACATTTACGATTATTTTGACATGGTCGAAGAACAAGACATGGGTCAAAAGACACACGATTATTTGTAAAAATTGTAGAAACAGATGAATCTAATAATGAACTGAAAAATGATGTTGTTGCTTCCGTTGTTATCAATTCGTTATCATTAGTATTTATCCAATCAGGTAACCAATCTATGTTTATAAACGAATATTCCATTTTTTACCTATTAGTCAAAATACCTGTTACCTTGATTATTCGTACAATCACGTACAAATATTTGCATCTTAACATTATATAGTATACTCGATGATATTGCTGTTAAATTAATTGATAAACCCCAAATAGTGACATTTTTCTGTGATGATATGATAATTGTATTATTATTATTAGATTGAGATACATATGTTAACATTAGTCCATTAATATCGTTTAGAATGGAATTGTTTTCGAGAAGAAATAGAACGGAAATATTTTCAACATTGGTTATATAGTCTGGATCAAGTCGAATTGTAGAGAGTACATAAGAATTTGGATTACCTAATGTATTCATTGACATTGGATACTGAAAGCGAACTTTAATTGCCGCTAATGATGTACTAAAATTCATTCCTTCTTCATTACGATTTAATATAAATGATAAAGGTGCTTTAATCTTTGGAATAGTAGTAATATTACGCACAATATTCAAATCATTATTCATTATATTCATACTATCATTGCATTGAGAACAATCTAGATAATATGAGAACAGTATTATATGATTATATCAATGTATGTTTATTGAGTACTTACCCAAATATTCAATCCATATACTTGAACATGATATGTTGCCTTGAGAGAATGAATGCACAGTGAATCCAAACGCCCAGATCGGAGAACTACTATTCCATGTAAAATTTGTCAAAAGAGTAGGTATATTCCTAACATTATATGAATATCCGATAGTACCATTTGACATAATTATAGAGAATGTAATGTTATTGGTATTGTTATTTGAAGAACTACATTCAATTGTGTAACTTAAAATACTATATGGAGAAGGAAAAGTTAGGTTTTTCTTGGTTTCTTCTGGAATTCGACTATATAATACAACTGTTTCATTTAGAAGATTGTCGCTCAATATGAAATCTTTTAAGATAGAATAGAAAATAAAACGATTTCTATTGATAATTATTGTATATACTTACTATTATAAGATATACTGGAACAATTACGCACATCAATTGATAATGCAAGATGATCAAGTGTTGAATTATCATTCGTTGGACCAAATATAATTCGTATACCCGATAATACCAATGAGCTTATACATGGAAAATTAACAATAATCGACGAAGTACCTGATGAATTTAGCATTGATAAAAAATGACTTTTTACAATTGATCGATCTGGAAGAATATAATAAATTCTTATCCAATCTATAACAATATCATCTAACATTACAATCGTGAGATTTTCTAATAGAAATAATTGATTTTGATTGAAATAGATATCAATTGAATAATTTAAAACATTTGATTCAAAACTAAAATCTTGATTTAAAGTATTAATGATTTGACCCAATGGCATTATATTATTGCCAATATCAAAGCTTTCAATAAAGCTATCTTGATCCATAATATCATTTTCTGTTGTATAATTGCAAGCTATAAAAAACAAAATCAATACTATTTGTTCCTATTAAACAATACTTCTTACTTGTAGAAATATGACAAATTATTAATTGAAGATCACGTGAAATATTTTTAAGTAATTCTACATTCTTTGACTGAAATGTAATGGTAGTGACAATTTGACATAAAGAAAGATTAACATGTATGACCGATAAGTTAACAAATTGTTGTATGGAATTATCATCATTAGTAACATTGATATTCACCAAATCAGAAATAGTTGAATTAAATTGAAATCCAATAATACCAATTGCATTGCCACTAAGATCTAAGGTCATTGATTGATTCAATTGCTCGAAACTAATTATACTGTTATCATTGAAAGTTTTTGTATATGATGAAAAAGGTACTGAATAAGTTCTTATTAATGTAGTAGAGGAATCTTAAACAAGCATAAAATAAGAAAAAATTAGAACAATAAAAATAATGTAAAACTAACTATAAGATGATGACGCAGAACTAAAGTAAATTTTAAAAAAGTATTTTAAAGAACTTGATCAATCTAGAAACTTACCTTGATGTTATAGGTGAATTAACCATGAATTTTTGACATAGTTGCTTTGATTGTAATCCTTGACTAGAATAAAGTATACCAAAAATAAAGATTATTATAGAATCTACTTCTGCAAATCGTTTATCGTACCTGTCGACGGCAACCATACATAGAAGTTGTAAACCAAGTTGTTGTGATGTAGGTGTCGAGAAGAGATTGATTGTGTATGTTTGTTGTGATCTACCGATGCGAACGAGTGGACTTTTGACAATATTGAGAAGTGCAAATGTTAAAATGTTATCCATGGTAACTCCCAAGCCCCAGTGATAAGCACAAGTAGTACTGGCGATCAATTGAAAGGAAAATGGGGTATTGATAGTAACATTTTGAATAAGTGTGGTTATACTGCTATTCAATATTGGCACTTGTTTGCAACTGAATAATGGTAAATATCGAATGTGAATGAAAAATTGAAATGGAGTAGAACTTAAAGGTGTATTATTGCCGGGTAAAAAGTCTTCAACCTGAATAGATACAGGATACCAACCTGTTGACTGGGATGCAGAAATAATTAAAGTACAATTATTCGAAAGAGTGGCATTTTTAAGTTGAGTATTCGACATACATGCATCACCGCATTCAGTACTCGTATTCGCAAAACGGCATTGAACTGTATCATTGTCTTGATCAATGACAGGAATGGAAATGATTTGAGATTGACCGTTCGGAAGGATGACGACGGGTGAAACCAAGGCCACCTGTGGTGATGAATTGATTGTTCCATCTGGACGATTAGATTGAATCACCTTTAATAAAAAGCTCCAAAACACCTTTGAAGGGCTATATAATATTGCAAAATTTCGCCATGAAGAACTTCGAAAACTACAGTTGACCTGACCATTCTGTGCNATTTGATTCAAAACTAAAATCTTGATTTAAAGTATTAATGATTTGATCCAATGGCATTATATTATTACCAATATCAAAGCTTTCAATAAAGCTATCTTGATCCATAATATCATTTTCTGTTGTATAATTGCAAGCTATAAAAACAAAATCAATATTATTTGTTCCTATTAAACAATACTTCTTATACTTGTAGAAATATGACAAATTATTAATTGAAGATCACGTGAAATATTTTTGAGTAATTCTACATTCTTTGACTGAAATGTAATGGTAGTGACAAGTTGACATAAAGAAAGATTAACATATATGACCGATAAGTTAACAAATTGTTGTATGAAATTATCATCATTAGTAACATTGATATTCACCAAATCAGAAATAGTTGAATTAAATTGAAATCCAATAATACCAATTGTATTGCCACTAAGATCTAAGGTCATTGATTGATTCAATTGCTCGAAACTAATTATACTGTTATCGTTGAAAGTTTTTGTATATGATGAAAAAGGTACTGAATAAGTTCTTATTAATGTAGTAGAGGAATCTTAAACAAGCATAAAATAAGAAATTAGAACAATACAAATAATGTAAAACTAACTATAAGATGATGACGCAAAACTAAAGTAAATTTAAAAAAAAGTTTTTTAAGGAACTTAGTCAATCTAGAAACTTACCTTGATGTTATAGGTGAATTAACCATGAATTTTTGACATAGTTGCTTTGATTGTAATCCTTGACTAGAATAAAGTATACAAAAAATAAAGATTATTATAGAATCTACTTCTGCAAATCGTTTATCGTACCTGTCGACGGCAACCATACATAGAAGTTGTAAACCAATTTGTTGCGATGTAGGTGTCCACAAGACATTCATTTTCCATGTTTGTTGTGATCTACCGATGCGGACGAGTGGACTTTTGACAATATTGAGAAGCGCGAATGTTAAAATGTTATCCATGGTAACTCCCCAGCCCCAGTAATAAGCACAAGTAGTACTAGCGATCAATTGAAAGGAAAATGGGATGTTGATAGTAACATTTTGAATAAGTGTGGTTATACTGCTATTCAATATTGGTGCTTGTTTACAATTGAATAATGATAAATATTGAATGTGAATGAAAAATTGAAATGGAGTAGAACTTAAGGGTGTATTATTGCCGGGTAAAAAGTCTTCAATCTGAATAGATACAGGATACCAACCTGTTGACTGGGATGCAGAAATAATTAAAGTACAATTATTCGAAAGAATGGCATTTGTAAGTCGAGTATTCGACATACATGCATCACCGCATTCAGTACTCGTATTCGCAAAACGGCATTGAACTGTATCATTGTCTTGATCAATGACAGGAATGGAAATGATTTGAGATTGACCGCTGTGAAGGATGACGACGGGTGAAACTAAGGCCACCTGTGGTGATGAATTGATTGTTCCATCTGGTCGATTAGATTGAATGACCTTTAATAAAAAGCTCCAAAACACCTTTGAAGGGCTATTTGACATTGCAAAATTTCGCCATGAAGAACTTCGAAAACTACAGTTGACCTGACCATTCTGTGCGGCTCGAACAGACGTAATTGTCTGCGTTACAGAAACATCTAAAGAGTCACTAGCATCTACACATGACATCTTTACAATCGAAATGAATTTAGGGCTAATCGATGTTGCAGATGATGAAAAGCAAGATAATCCAAGAGTACCATCAGAACTGTAAAGTTTGATCGATTGTCGAGACGGCCTGCATGGTATTATCTTATATGCCCACAGATAAGTTTGAACGATTGTCAGTTTTACAGTTGTACCATCGCCAGATGAACGAAAACTGATTGATCCCCCCGTAAAATGATCACTTTTAATGAATCTTAGCAATTGGAAAATCAAAAGAAGGCGTAGCAACATCATAAAATAATGAAGAAATGAGTTTTCAGTAGAATCTTTGCAGTTTTACATTTTTTTCATTTATAAAAAGAAAAAATCATTTATTCTTCGTTTGTTTTAAAAGGTATTTTTTATTAGACATTAAAAATTCTCATTTTCTGACATGCCTGACGCCTGACTTTTCTCTTCACAATATTAACCTTGCACTTTTTTTGATCATTTCAATGAGTAAATAAGTCAAGGGGGGAAAGGCAAACTTGAAGTAGGTTAAAGTAGATAAAAGTTGCTAAAAGTACTTGAAATTACCTTCAAATACTCTGAAGTAGCAGAGTCATTTGAGGTACAAAAATCTGCTTTTCTCAAGATCACTTTAAACAAACCGAATCCTTTTATTCTGTATTTGGGAAGGGATAATCGAAAACAGAACGGAATCGACCCATAATGAGAATAGATCCTAAGATACAGCTGTCTTGTTCTGTTTTAGAGATGCTTCCAAGAAAAACGTGAAGGCATTTGTGTACTCCAATATTATAGTACGTGCCGGAGTGCTGAGTGAGTGTTGAGTAAACTCCGAGATGTTCATATAGATATTTTAGACCAAAGATACAGCTAAGGACAAAGGATCGGCACCTTGATCAAAACTCACGAATGGCAACATAATTTAAAACTGGAGATCTCGATCCATCTCCGCGCTATAGTGTAAAAGGAGTCCTGGCTACCGTCATAGTATGGCATACCAAGATCACAGGTTATCCTCATATTAAGCGACTAGATGTACCAAGGCTAACCCGATAATATAATATGTACCCTCATAGTATAGGACATGAGGACCGAGAGTTACCTCTGTAGGACTACTTTTTAACACATAGTTGTTCTCATGAAACTGAGTATAACAATATATGTGGAAGCATAAAACTTTTTTTTAAAATCCCTGTACCTCCCTCCACCCTCAAGACGATCCACAGAAATTTTCCGTCTCTTAAATGAATAAAGAAAAACGATTCAGAAGTCTATTCAAGATTTCAAAGTTGTATTAAGTCAGATTTAATCATTCGATTAAAGATAGCTGTGATCAATAAACTAAAATATTTTGATACATTTTTAAAATTAACTTTTAGCTCTGTTTCAAGACAAAACCGTTTTTAAAATAATATAAGCACATCAATATCAACAAACGTTTTCTATCGACTACATTCATACTTTTACATTGAAGATTATTGTGTATTATGGATTACAACGTCATTTTGGCCGAATAAAACAAGATAATCATGTATTATTTTCATTTCAACGATAATCTTTCATCTAATAAAGAAAACAGATACATCAGATTCTTTGTGAGCTGTACTCACTATTCTTTGAAAAGAAACTAGTTAAAGACGAAGAAAAACTATATTCTCAATTATTATTTAAATATATTCAATAATATTTTAATACCATTTTGAAACACAACGATTCATCTCCTCATTTTATTTTTCTGAAGAATAATGCTAATCATTATTATGTAACTTTTTTATTAATATTTTGTTATTATAACAAAATATAAGTATATCGATAAAATACGAAATATTGTTTAAAATCCTTTAATCATTTTATGTGAGTTATGAGTAAAAAAATTTCTAATTCTTTTGCTTTTATTTGAGGAGAAGAGTGTGAATATTCGAATCAATCCACACTCACTTCTAACCATTATTTCTTTTTATATCCACATGCAATAAAATACCCATCTGAATCACTGTATTCATTAGGTGTTCGGTCGACAGCTGAAGTTTGAATATTGATTAAGTTCATTCTCTCCAGTGTCTCTCGTGCAGATTGTTCATTCATATATTGAGCAAAAAAGCGTTTATCATTGACGTAGTAAAATGTTTGATTTCGTCCATGTGCTAAAACAAGAAAACCACCCGGTTTTAGTAGCATGCATAGTCGCTCGACAGTCTTTTCGTATGTTTCTTTTGTAAGACAAGCATCTTCGAGACAGAAGGAGCTAAGAATAATATCAAATTGATTGTAATTATCTGGATTATCAAGTACAGAACATCCAGATTGTTCATTCACGTCAGCAATTCGTAGAACACCTCCTCGTTGAAGACCTGTACGTAAACGTTGTTCGCATTCTGATAATGAAAGCGTGATGCCTGTCTAAATGATATAGAGCACTAGAAGCGCAATAGAGGAAATGATAAACAACTAACCTGTTGATGATATTGTTCGATAATAAAGTTAAACACATTAGTCCAGTCAAAAGCACCGTCAACTTGATTTATCCAATCATTTACTGCTTTCAAATTGTTTGGTACATACTCAGAAAATGTTATCGATTGAACATATTGTGCAAGTACAAAAGATGAGACAAGAGTTGGTCCACCACCAAATTCAAGAGCTCGTTCATTACCAAGATGAGAACTATTGTTAACAAAAACACGTACCAATCCTTTGATATGTTCCATAAACCATGGAATAGTTTTAAAGCGTGTATATGCACTCAGATAATCATTGGTGCCGAATTCAGTTAAATAATCTCGAGTATGTAATGTTTCATTGTGCATAATTCGAGTATATATTGGTAATAAGAATGAAAATATAATCTGAAAATATTAATTACAACAATAATTCTTTCCATTAATCATCTGAGAATTTGAATCAGAAATCACAAAAAGTCCTATATCTATTCTCACTATCCTATGTTGATAAAACTGCGGAATGCACTCCTTCTTATATTTCATAAATGCTTATTTTGTGCTCGTATTTTTTTTTGTTCTGTTATGTCTCTCGTGCTCCCCCTTATTCTCTTTATTCACTCTTTTAAATACTCTACCGAAGTATTAGAACAGAACATATCAGAACGTGACAGAATGAAACAAAATGAAAAGCCAGAGAATATGCTTATGGCAGAAGAGATACAATCGGCCATAACATTTCCATATTGAATAAGAAAACGAACACGTGCTCTTACCCACAAGGATATTAATCGTCTACATGTTGCAGAACAAACAGTTTTATCTCAATCTAAGTTTAGAAAAAAAGAAAATACTTGTCGTTCAAATTCAATTTGAATGATCATTCGTTTAATTTATTCTATATATAACATATATTTTACTGATTACCAATGCGATAGGAATAGCTCGACTCTTAAAATACAATTATATAAGATGCCAGATGACTGATAAAATAAATATTCCACATTAGAAATGACTTCAAAATGATTAACTCTACCATTACGATTAAATGAGTCGTTTTTCTAGAACAGAAATTTCTTCTTCACTTAACACACGATCAGATAAATTCCAAACTAATTTTGAATCACTTTCGTTATTGTTATTATTCCCTTTTCTGAAAGAAAGGGTTATAGCGTATAAAATACGGTCGTTAAAATGCTAAAAGTTTGTTTGTTTGCATAATCCAATCAGGTCGTAGCATTTTATAAGTCCATCAAAACTCAAGGATAGTCATTAGGAAACAACTCACTCGGGGTAATCGGGATCGAGGACCACGAATTTGATGATAGTTGTAAGTGATTATTAAATATTAATTAACTACAGGTTAGCTGGGCATCAGTTATTAATATTACAGGAAGGCTTTACGGAAGGGTTATCAATATCAAAGAACTCAAATTTAAGTTTAGTTTTTCGTTACTCACAAAGATGCGTCTGATTCCCTTCTCTTTATAACACAGATTTTTTCCTGTATCTTGATTGGATGCGGTATAGCGTTTTCCGGGAAATTTGTTTTGCCGCAGTGAATCCTACGTTGAATGTTGACGATATAATCATCAAGACAAACATAACCTTCTGGTCGCTTTTTTGCCTGTTTATCTAATGGTCGTTGTCGAAGTTGACGGCGTTGATTTCGACGATTTTTCAGATTGTAAAACGTCAAGATCGACAAGAAAAGCATGAGAATCGGAATAGCAAGCGACACGATGACAATCACGATCGGTACAGTTCGACGGGCGACTGATACTTGACTAAAGTTACGGATAGTGACACTGGGTGAACTCAGAGCGTAACGATCAAAACAGGCCAAAATCAGAAAGATCCGTGTCATTTGAAGACCAATATGTGGTAAATAAATTAGTAGTTTACAGAAAGTCGCAGACGAACTGCTTAGATAGACGTGGTTAAGACCGTAGAGCATTGAAAAGATACCTCAAGATAATGAGAGGATATTTGATCAAGATGCAGCAAGAAAATCTAGATGGCTAATAAACGGAAAAGAAACGAGTAAGGAAAGAAAAGATTTTCTTCAACATACATGTGCAACAGGAAATTTGTCACAGTTGTCGTTGAGAAAACAGAGCAATGTTCAGCAAAGATCCGACTACACCGACAACGAACGTGGTCGGCAGACCATATCGGACAATACCATAGTAAATATTTGTTAATGTTACTGGGAATGGCCACATTCTTTCTAAAAAGGAACCAAGCAAACAATCGATCTTGTTGTCTCTCGTAAGTGTGATGAATAAATGGCAAGAAAACTTGCCAATTACTTCAAATCTTAAGTATCTGTCGTGCGAGGGAAGACATAGGAAAAAATCTAAGAAATCCTTTTCTTTCGACTAACATGCCTGACAGTCAAGTGACGAAACACTATTTCTACAAGAGAAAATACATCCTCGCAAGTAACTTAAAGCGTTGTTTTATCTTCATCCTAAGTGTGTTGGCAAAATCACATTGATCGATGATAATAATGGTTGTATTTTTAATAAGATAGACCATTCCATTATTCAAACGAACATAAATGAGGCAAGAAGACTATGGTTGCTTTCTGAAAATTCAATTAGAGATTTACTTCAACTTCATTTTTTATCACAAGAAAATTGTAAAAATAAAGTAGCGTCCTTAAATAGAAAGGACAAGAAGCACTTTTGACATGCTTCTTCTTCTGATTAAAGCTTAAAGCATAAACATCTCAACATAGGATAATGAGGAGTGCGAAGGATACCTCGCTGAGTTAATAACCTCTTTCGTCATCATCGTACTTGATGTTACATCGAGATATGTATCCCTTCTCAACCTGTTTCAGGACCAGCAGAAATATCGTTGAACGTTTGATGACGATGTATCCACTACCGAGCTCGGATGCATGACAAGCAAGTACATAAACAAGTACTGTTCTCTGTATAAATATGTCTTCAAATGATCGTCAGATCGGAATGATAAAGGTAATCAACCTGCCGAGAAAAAACTATTGCATATTAAATGTAATCTCTGATCCTGGAACAAGCGCTAATTTTTCCATAACACTGTCACCCACGTCGTGCTCCAAATCATAGTGAAAAATGACGATGTAAAAACAACTAGTTAAGCGTTTTTCCTTATCTATGAGTAATCATGCCTTATGTCTAAATTACGGATTTCTATGATTTTCTTGTTCATGCGCAAACCCTTCTTGGAGAACAAAATACATTAACCACCAGTATTAATATTTAACTACTGATAAAAAGCCAGCATATGTCATCTATTTCTCTACCAGATAAGTTTCTTTTTTACATAAGCTACTTTTACATCAATGCATTCTCAATAATGGTTACACTGCTGATTCAAATTTTGTTGTAAATTCTGAACTTGCATTCAATCAGTAGCCAACTTCAAATTAATCTATATCTAACAAATTGGAAAAATGGGGATGAAAAATATGATGGTCTACTGCATCACTGTTTGTATGCTACATCTGCAGTGTCGCACGATCGTGAACCTTACCAGATAATTCCCTATTGTCTCAGTGAATGGCCATCGATATGGAAAATACAAGACAATCATGTCGATCCGAAGTTTACCTTTGCTCAATTAGCATCGGAAAGCATCACCAGTGAACAGTTATATCTTTGGTCGGCACCAATGGATATTATTCAACGGTATCAGAATTATCTTGATAGCTCGTCTCATTTGACTCTCGAGTCCATGGGTAAAGAACTTTTCTACAACTGTACATTGCCAAATTTTGGTCCATCCTGTGAATACAGTTTACTTGCTTACAAATCTCATCAATCATCTTTGGATCAAATCGTTAGAGAATATTACAGAAACAATCCATACGAACCAACGAGCCTAACATGTTATATGCATCTACAATGCGATCGAGGTTCACCGGCCATTTGTCTTGATTGGACCGAAATATGTGATGGAAAAGTCGATTGCTTCGATGGTGGCCGCGACGAAGAACACTGTTGGCAAATGGAAATAAACCAATGTAATGAGAACGAATTTCGCTGTCTCGATGGGCAATGTATACCCATGGCGTTTCTTCGTGAAGTAGAGTTTCATTTCGANTCCTGGCTACCGTCATAGTATGGCATACCAAGATCACAGGCTATCCTCATATTAAGCGACTAGATGAACCGAGACTAACCTGATAATATAATATGTACCCTCATAGTATAGGACATGAGGACCGAGAGTTACCTCTGTAGGACTACTTTTTAACACATAGTTGTTCTCATGAAACTGAGTATAACAATATATGTGGAAGCATAAAACGTTTTTTGAAAATCCCTGTACCTCTCTTCACCCTCAAGACGATCCACAGAAATTTTCTGTCTCTTAAATGAATAAAGAAAAACGATTCAGAAGTCTATTCAAGATTTCAAAGTTGTATTAACTCAGATTTAATCATTCGATCAAAGATAGTTGTGATCAATAAACTAAAATATTTTGATACATTTTAAAAAATAACTTTTAGCTCTGTTTCAAAACAAAACTGTTTTTAAAATAATATAAGCACATCAATATCAACAAACTTTTTCTATCGATTACATTCATACTTTTACATTGAAAATTAGGGTCTATTATGGATTACAACGTCATTTTGACCGAATAAAACAAGATAATCATCTGTTATTTTCATTTCAACGATAATCTTTCATCTAATAAAGAAAAACTATATTCTCAATTATTATTTAAATATATTCAATAATATTTTAATACCATTTTGAAACAAAACGACTCATCTCCTTATTTTATTTTTCTGAAGAATAATGCTAATCATTATTATGTAACTTTCTTATTAATATTTTGTGTTATTATAACAAAATATAAGTATATCGATAGAATACGAAATATTGTTTAAAATTCTTTATTATTTTATGTGATTTATGAGTAAAAAAATTTCTAATTCTTTTGCTTTTTTTGAGGAGACGAGTGTGAATATTCAAATCAATCCACACTCACTTCTAACAATTATTTCTTTTTATATCCACATGCAATAAAATACCCATCTGAATCACTGTATTCATTAGGTGTTCGGTCGACAGCTGAAGTTTGAATTTTGATTAAGTTCAGTCTCTCCAGTGTCTCTCGTGCAGATTGTTCATTCATATATTGAGCGAAAAAGCGTTTATCATTGACGTAGTAAAATGTTTGATTTCGTCCATGTGCTAAAACAAGAAAACCACCCGGTTTCAGTAGCATGCATAGTCGCTCGACAGTCTTTTCGTATGTTTCTTTTGTAAGACAAGCATCTTCGAGACAGAATGAGCTAAGAATAATATCAAATTGATTGTAATTATCTGGATTATCAAGTACAGAACATCCAGATTGTTCATTCACGTCAGCAATTCGTAGCACACCCCCTCGTTGAAGACCTGTACGTAAACGTTGTTCGCATTCTGATAATGAAAGCGTGATGCCTGTCTAAATGATATAGAGCACTAGAATCGCAATAGAGGAAAAGATTAACAAATCGGTGTGAAGCTAGCACGAAGGAGCTAGCACGAACAAACGATATGTTAGGTAAAAACTTTTTTACTAAGTATGTCCCGTCCATGGTGTAGTTTCCATGGACGGGACATACTTAGTAAAAAAGTTTTTAGATAACACATCGTTTGTTCGTGCTAGCTCCTTCGTGCTAGCTTCACACCGATGATAAAAACAACTAACCTGTTGATGATATTGTTCGATAATAAAGTTAAACACATTAGTCCAGTCAAAAGCACCGTCAACTTGATTTATCCAATCATTTACTGCTTTCAAATTGTTTGGTACATACTCAGAAAATGTTATCGATTGAACATATTGTGCAAGTACAAAAGATGAGACAAGAGTTGGTCCACCACCAAATTCAAGAGCTCGTTCATTACCAAGATGAGAACTATTGTTAACAAAAACACGTACCAATCCTTTGATATGTTCCATAAACCATGGAATAGTTTTAAAGCGTGTATATGCACTCAGATAATCATTGGTGCCGAATTCAGTTAAATAATCTCGAGTATGTAATGTTTCATTGTGCATAATTCGAGTATATGTTGGTAATAAGAATGAAAATATAATCTGAAAATATTAATTACAACAATAATTCTTTCCATTAATCATCTGAGAATGTGAATCAGAAATCACAAAAAGTCCCATATCCATTCTCACTATTCTATGTTGATAAAACTGCGGAACGTACTCCTTCTTATATTTCATAAATGCTTATTTTGTGCTCGTATTTTTTTTTGTTCTGTTATGTCTCTCGTGCTCCCCCCTTATTCTCTTTATTCACTCTTTTAAATACTCTACCGAAGTATTAGAACAGAACATATCAGAACGTGACAGAATGAAACAAAATGAAAAGCCAGCGATTATGCTTATGGCAGAAGAGATACAATCTGCCATAACACTTCCATATTGAATAAGAAAACGAACACGTGCTCTTACCCACAAGGACATTAATCGTCTACATGTTGTAGAACAAACAGTTTTACCACAATCTAAGTTTAGAAAAAAAGAAAGTACTTGTCGTTCAAATTCAATTTGAATGATCACTCGTTTTATTTATTCTATATATAACATATATTTGACTGATTACCAATGCGATAGGACTAGCTCGACTCTTAAAATACAATTATATAAGATGCCAGATGACTGATAAAATAAATATTCCACATTAGAAATGACTTCAAAACGATTAACTCTACCATTACGATTAAATGTGTCGTTTTTCTAGAACAGAAATTTCTTCTTCACTTAACACACGATCAGATAAATTCCAAACTAATTTTGAATCACTTTCGTTATTGTTCCCTTTTCTGAAAGAAAGGGTTATACAGCGTTTAAATGCTGTGTTAAAAAGCTTAAAGTTTGTTTGTCTGTCCTATCCAATCAGAAATCAGCATTTCTAAAATTAATGAAATTGATCGATAGTTGTTGGAAAATGATTACCGGTAGGTGAATCTGAGATTAGTTTTGATTAAATAATTATTAGTTTTTCATTAACTAGCCACGACTTATTAACATCCATTCTCAGAGTAGACCGAAGGGTTTCTCACGTTGGGAAATTCGAATTTGAGAGCGAATTTCGTTTTATTCGCTGAGCCTGGGCTTGTTCCTTCCTCTTTACAAAGGAGATATTTTTTTTTATCTGCTCTAAAATCTTTTGTAGAAGATGGTGAGCTGAACGCTATTCACGGACGTCATGTGTACAAAGATAGTAGCTCAAGAACTTACACGAAAATATCCAATGCATTGTACACGATGATTTTTCTAATTGAAGAAATCCGAAAAAGTTATATGAGCTTCGTATCATCTTTGCTTTGTAGGCCACATGCATCATGTCTTTTCATGGGAATTTAGTAGAAGTAGTTCGCGTTCTCGTACTAAGTGTGAATATTCGAAGTGTAATGTAGGTTTATGTGTTAAAAATTGCTTTCGAGCATATCGTATATGGAAATCATATTAATAAACTTGTAGGAAGAAAAGAATAAAATAATCTTGAAACTTTCTCTTTCATATTTTTTTTCACGAAAAAGGATCCCATCCTGAATGGGTTAATATTGATAATATAACATGTAATAAAACATTAGATTTTAATTTTAAAAAATGTTTGAAATATCTTAAAGAAATAACACATAGTAAAGATAATATTTCTAATGGAATTAAACTTAGTTTTTTATTATTAAAAAAGTCATCAAAAAATCGATATCAAATAATATATTACGGTGCTAATGAAGCTGGAGCAAATGCTTTAGAATTTATTAAAACAAATGAAAATTGTCAAGTATGATTTTTATAACCAATTCCAAAGTTTTTTTTATCAATTAATTGTTATTATTAAACAACTAAAAAGCGAACAACATCATTTATTTAATATTGGTTTAGCAAATAAAAATCAACTTAAACTTATTACATACGAATTTTGAAGGCTGTGAATATGAAGTTATTGAAAGATAAATTGAATTAAATATAGTCGAACAACACAATTACTTCTCATAGTTTGAGAAATTGAAAGTAAAGAGTGAAGAAAAGATTTTACTATTATCATAGAACATTAAAAACTTCGCGGTTAATCTAGAAGTGACCTTAATTAAAAAGTTGTACATGTTGGTATTTAGGGTATGGATGTGTATCTTCTATTCAGATTTACCCACACTCTTTATTTTTCATACTTATATTTCAACAATGAGAAGAAGATACATGTTGTGCTGAGAATTCGTATGTTTCAAGATTGTTGATCATTTATCTGAAGAATATTAAAAATGTTAGTGATGATAACGATTTTTGACACTCCAATTATTTTAATCTTTTGAATACATATATTCATATTTAGGAAAAAAAGAAGTATCTATATCAGTCAATGTGTTGTTTATTCAGTTAATGAATTATTATTCGTTAGATATGAAATGGGATGCTTCTCAAGTGTATAATATAGTCGACCCGATTTGCTCATTGATAACCCAAGGCCTCTTTCAACTCGTTTCAAAAAATCGAGTTTGCTTTCACCTGACACAACAGCTATCGGTGTTGAACCAGGAAGATTTTCAAACTCAACGAATCCATTGGTCATCAATTCGTTTTTCTTTGTACCGCTTAAGTTTTCCAACTGTTCAATGGTACAGAGTTCGTACCAGATTGTCAATCGACATTTTGGTTCATGAGGATAAATGACGCGATGAATACCAGGTTTAAGACGATTTTGTGTTACTCGAGATGCTGCCTCTCCTAACCAGATAACACCAATGTTCGATTCTAAAGGTCCATCGATCCATTGATTATTTTTCATATTTTTCAGCTGAAGTCCTTCATGAGTCGATAATATACTAATTGAGAGTAATCCCGGATCATAATGTGGAACACAGTTGACTTCGTCGGTTGATTTTCCATTCTCTGGTGTTTGAACTCCAGATTTATTATTGAAATAGGATACAATATCGAGCATACCAAAATGTTCATCTTGCAATGGGAGATTAGCATGTTCAATAAGAGATGACAAAGATGATTCTTGTTGAAATACTGAATGTTGATCAAGTAGTTCAATTAAACGTTTTGTTGTAGCATCTAACATTTGAGAAAGATAGTTCAATGGTTGAACGAGTTCGGCTGGCACCAATCCTCTATTTGCAAATGTGCCAAAATGACTTCCTGTTAACAGTTTAATTCCTTCTTTATGATTCACTGACGAATAACCATATATTGCGGAGCGTTGTGAATAATTATTCTTTCTTTTATTAGATTGGAAAAAATTCGATATTTCGTTTATCAAATTTGAGTCCGGAATGAGTTCGGCAGGTAAAAAGACGAAACACCAGCCATTCAATTCGAATTCAGTTACCATTTGTTTTATTTCCGTAGAATCGTTCTGATGTAATATTTTATTTAAATCGATAATATTTTGTGGTGTTTTGTTTCTTGAGGACATTTTTGTGTCAAGTTGAAAATATAATGTTAGTTTCTGAGTATATCAGAATTATTTACCAACCATTTCGATTTATAAACAAAAACAAGGATTATTGCATCATTTTTTCTTCTGTAGCGTCACTAGCTGCGAAATTGTACTTAGTCATCGATTACCTATTGATCACGAGTAGTTTGAAAGAGAACATGACTGTATCTTCGAAGAATGTGGATGTCTATTCTTTACCTCACGTATTTATACCTATACTATATGTACACGCATCACTATAGAGTTGCCAGATCAGCTTTTGTGTATACATCTATCGTTGATTACAATTATAAAATCAAGAGAAATACAAGAATGAAGGACAAAAGGCAAAGAGAATATTGATGTTTGATTTCTGATAGTGCAAACCCACTCGCATCCGTAAGATCAAATGGCACTTGATGCACATACAACTTTTTCTTTTTCTTTTCTTGCAAAAAGTTTATATATTTACATAAGGCACACTTCAGTCTTTGTCATCCTTTGTGTAGAAAGAAACTCGATAAGCAGACGGTGAATGATGTATTTTATTCGTTATTAGCGGTTGTTTTTTCTCCAACTTGTAACAAAAATAAAGAAAAATCTAATACTCGAATGAATTGATATTGTAGAGTAAGTACTAGTAGTTTAACTATATCTATACTAAAAATTAGATGTTCTTTTCGATAAAGACGATTAAAATTTTTTTAATCTTCTAATATACTATGTGTCATTGTGTCAAATGATTTTATAGCCTAATTCTGTTATTATCGTATTATTGGTGAATATCATTCGGTTCAATTTGTCATGAATCTTTCCATTCACGATTTTACAATCATCTGGCTTGATGCCAACAACGAGCAACCAGACACTTTCTTTGATCGGCCTTCTATACTTACTTCGATTATTTCGGATCTGCATACATTTGATAATCCATCTGACTGTCTTGATTACATAACATCAATTCATTCAAATATTCGTATTTTTCTTCTCGTATCTGGTCAATTAGGTAAAAGTATAATGTCTATGATGCACGATCATTCAAAGATCTGTTATGTTTACATTTATTGTACAAATCGTAAACAACATGAGAAATGGACAAAAGATTATAGCAAAATTCGTGGCATCTATGTCGATCGTACTGTTCTACTACATCAATTAACTGCCGATGTTGCACTATATTCGAAAGAACTTTCTGCACCGATCACACTGTTCAAACGAGACGATCTGAGTAAACAAGAGAGATCAATTCGAAATTTAAGTAAGGAAAGCAGTATGTTTATGTGGTTTCAATTATTGCTCGAAACATTACTTGACTCAAAACAGACGATTAATGCACGTAAAGAAATGCTGAATGAATGCAAAAGAGAATACCAAGAAGATCCTGTTCAATCGAGTAAAATCGAAGAGTTTGAAGCCAACTATTCGCCTACTGAAGCTGTCCGATGGTACACACGAGATTGTTTTCTCTTTCGATTAGTCAACCGTGCGATGCGCACTCAGAATATTGATACAATCTATACATACCGTTCGTTCATTCTTGATTTGCATAAACAACTTTGCAGACTAAGTATTAGTACACTCGACATTGATGAAGTATATCGTGGTCAATTAATGGCATTTGAAGAAATTGAACACATGCGTTCAAATATCAATGGTCTTATCTCGATCAATACTTATTTTTCTACATCAAAACGTTTATATATCGCATCCGGGTTTAGTGGAGGAGGTTTGGGTCGACCATGTCTTGAGTCAGTGGTTTTTACTATAAAAATTCGACCAAATATGACTGAAAAACCATTTGCTAATATACAAGACTATAGTTATATATCTCAGGAAGGTGAAGTTCTGTTCAGTGCAGGTACCATTTTTCAGATTATCGATGTAAGTGAATTGACTGATGGAATATGGTCAGTAGAACTGAATCTCAGTAGTGACATACAGGAACAATGGTACGATGTTATGCGATACTTACGCACTGAAATGACTGCACGACCAACTCTGGTCACATTGGGTAATTTTCTATCCGAAATGGGTGACTTAGACAAATCGGAGCGATACTATCATCTACTAATGAACGAACTCGAAAATGAAGAAGATACAGGAGCTATACTGACGGCCATTGCTGCAGTACATTTTCGTAAAAATGATTTTACTCGTGCTCTTAACTATTGTAATCAGGGGCTCGAACAACTGACAGCATTACCCCATATTCATCCTGATCTGGCCACAGCATATAATATTATGGGTATGATTCAACTTGAACTGAATCAATTGGATGATGCTGTGCAATATTTTAAGTATGCTTTGAATGTTCACGAACAAACTTTACCGAATGATGATCCATTGATCGCTGCTGATCTACATAATATGGCAACGGTCGATTTAAAAGCAGAACGATTCGACGAAGCATTAACAAGATTCAACCGATCTTTGCAGATTAAACTTGCGGTATTACCTGCTGATCATCCACTTGTTGGTCACACGTATGCCAATATGGGTCTGCTATTTGCTAAGCAGAAACAATGGACTAAGGCTCATTATTTCTACGATAAAGCAATAGATATTCAACAAAAAACTTTGCCAATTACTCATCCCGATCTTGCTGTATCGTATGCAAACAAAGCTTCTGCTCTTGTTGGAGAAAAACAATTTGATCGTGCATTACAATTGTATAATCAAGCACTTGCCATCGAATTGGCAAGAGATCCACTGTGCACAAGTCATTTAGTAAATATCTATGAGCAAATCGGTTTAATTTATATTCAGACGCGTGAGCATACAGAAGCCATATACTCGTTTGAAAAAGCTCTACAACATGAACTCAATTGTCATGCATCTTGGAACCAATTGTGTCCATTGCGTAATAATTTGGGTACAGCACATTACAAAAATGGTAATTATCAATTGGCATTAAAAGAATACGAAGCAGCACTTGATCTCATTCCATCGGATGATAATAGTTCAAAGCGGTTTTCTACTTTAAATAATATTGCTACTGCTTATTTCAGTATGGAAAATTATTCATATGCCCTTCAGTTCTATCAGAAATTGATTGATACTTTGGACAATATAAATATTTCTCCTTCCAAAGACAATTTAATGCTCATTTATCAAAATATTGGTTTATGTTACTTAGCTATTGAAGACAACGATTTGGCTCTAGAATACTTTGCTCGAGTGCTTTCATTTACTGAAAATCCATCAATTCTGAGCAAAACTCATTCTTATATAGCGGATATATTTCTCAATAAAAATGAGTTGACTAACGCCATAGAAAACTACGAGCTGGCATTGAAATATGACTCATCGAATGAAGACTTCGTTATCACAACGTATAATTCAATCGGAACAGCACATCATCTTCTAAACGATATTTCAAAGGCTTTGAGCAACTATCAACATGCACTAAATATTCTACATAAAGCACGATCCAACGATACATGTGCATTGGCCGCTGCATACGGTAACATTGCTAATGTATATTGGCAAGTAGATGATTTTACTAACGCCATAGAATATTATACAAGACAACTTAATCTTGAAACTGATCCTGATGTAAAGCATCAAATAGAAGAAGACATTGAAAATATTCGTCTTCATCTTCAATTAAGAGATCATCTGTAATATTGATATAGATGAAAAATCAGTGTATAAATCCACGTTCTCAATCGAAGAGTGAAAAACTGACGTTGCTGTGCTAAGTGTATTTGATGAAACGAAGTTTGTGAATAGATTTGTTCTGCTTCTCAAACGCACACTCACATAATTATTCTTGAAAAGATACGAATTTTTTTATTTGTGGAAAGAAAAATCCAATTTCATTGAAATCTTCACAATTCTCCTTGAATATTTTTCAAAATAATTTTCTTTCGTGACACTAATATTCAATCAAAACATTCTTATCAAAAATATTTATCCTCCTGTTTTTTCTCGTTTAACTCATTATTTTCTGTCTATTACTGCGATACAATAATTAGTCAAGTGAATCGCCCGATGTTTGATCATCAATCGTAAACTAATTGATTTGACTGTTTCTCAAAAATAAATAAAAAATATCACAATAAATCATTTCCACTTTATTTTAGTCGATGTATTGGAAATATTTTTCTCTCTTTACACGACATGATGATGCTAGACGATGAACAGTTTTAAATCTTTCTTTATCATTAAATGAAAATAAAGAATATAAAATTACAAAAAATTGCTAACAAACAACCCGATAATTACCAATTTCAGAAAAATAAACATCTCGATTATTGACTATACATCTACACGTTGTAGATAACGTAACTGATACAAACTCTGAGCAACAGTATCAGTTTCTGCAGCAATTTTACTTGTAAAATTATCAATTGGATAAAAACGTTGAATTTAAAAGACATCCAATTTCGACAGTATAAAACATTTTAAAATCGGTTATGTTGATGTATTTGAATATCTTCACATTCTGGTGACACAGTAGAAACAGAGTAGTCACATCGATAATTTAAGTTTAGTATATCGATCAGAAATCATTTGCAGACAAAACAGTGAAGCGATTGATTTCGTTTAGTTCTACACATGTTTTTTGTTGTATAGCAAGAATAGATTCGTTCTTTCGTTACAGATTTTTTTCTTTGCACTGAGATTTAATATGGAAGGAAAGACAAAGTAACGAAATATACACATACAAGTGTGTATATGCACGTGTATTTACTAACTTTCAACCGCGAATAAGAAAAGGAAAAAGAACAAAGAAATCACTAACTGTGCAGTATGAAAGTGCACAGAGATGGTTACAGTGTCAGAGATCAGAACGTTACAATTCTATTGTCAAGTAGATCTATAGTTTCGTTGTCTAGATGCTTTTTCATATGTACATATGTAGATTCACCGCAAACATCACCTAAGACACTTTTTTTGAGAGGAATTATATTCATAATAAGATACGCAGAGAATTGGAGATATGACAGCAGTGCATGTGAAATAAATACTATGAAATGCTTCTAGAATGTGCTATTTAAATTTCTCTCAAAGAATTACACACCGATTTTTTGTAAATTTCATCATAGAACAAATAAAAAACAGATGTAGCTTTTTTCATACTATCGTAACGAAAGAGTTAAAAAGCAATCATTCTTGAGATCTTTCTGCAATTCATGTATATGATTCACTTTTTATGCGTTCGTTGGTTGGAAAAAACCAGGCAGCACAAAAGTCAAACAACATCATCAATACTATTTATTCTTTAATCGGCTTTTCTTTTTAACAACTGAACCAACAAATGGCAACAATAACTAAAATTGGTAATCAATTCTTTGTGTCTGGTAGCACAATCGAAGGTGCTGCATATGCACGTCATTTTGCTCAACAATCAATACAAGATTTGGACATGATGTTAGTAGAAGGGAGAATAATCTCACCATCTTGTATTCTTAAATTAAAAGATGCCGTAGGATTCGTTCAAGTTAAATATGACGAGAATTATATTCAGCTATCCAGTCACACACCTTTTTCAACGAAGTCAAATCAAAACGGAATATTATGTATTAATGGTTTGAAGATGAAAGAAAAGTATTGTGGAACAGAATCGATTTACTTTCTTCCAACCTCCACGATTATAACTACGGGTCAAACGGCGATCAATTCAGCAAGTGCAGAAGTCAAATTTAAATGTAATTCATCATCAATTACACTCGATGAACAATTTGAAAATATATTAAATTCCATTCGACGAATAAAAGCACAAGAGCATATCGAATGTCTACAATCAAAATATATCTTAGTCTGTAATACCTTTCTAAGGTCACTATCACAATTTGCACTACCTCTAATAAGTACAATTGCCGAAGCAGAAAATCTGAATTTACAAACATTTAAAGATCTTATTAGTTTAACATCACCTATATATAATATACAAATGCCACAAGTAATTAAAGTTCGATTAAATGATTTACTTGAATTCTATGAGAAATATAAGCATCTTGGAAATGAATCTTTCTTGAAAGAGTACATTGAATATGGACAATTATGTATTAATAATGAAGCTGATTTCGTTCCAGCTTTACAACTTGATTTTTGGCCAGATGATATTCAATCGTTTCTGGAAAGAATTCATCGGCATCGTCCACAATTGTATCAATTAATCATTGATACAACTTCAATGCATTTAATACCAAAATGGTCCGAAAAAACAGCAAAAATCGATGAAGAACTGGAATTTCGATATTCATTTTCTGAGATCGAACGTACATTAGCAATGAATCGTACACGAGTAGAACAAATTCTCAATGGCGTTGCAAGAAGTATCTATTATAAATATTTAAAACATCGATCATTAATTCCATCCTATTTGATCAAAACGACTGTATTGTGGATGTGTGAATTAAGAAATCTTAATGATCAATTTACAGATGAAGATGACGATCGAACTATTGCTCTTGTCTTAGCTGAACAATGGCTTGTATATGTTAAAGAGATATTATCGAATGGTGTCTGTAAACATTATTTTATCGATGAAATGAATCTCTTAGGATCATGTTCAACAGAAGCATTACAAACCGCAATAGATATTCTTGAACATGGGGTGGATTTGGATGCTGATGAGAAAATTAATATATTTATTGAACAGAAGAATTTGCTTAATCAACATCGACATACAATGGAGAATTGGTTTGGTAATATGAAAGTGAAAGATATTTTAGATGCAATGAATGAATATAAACTATTGAAAGAGAACTGGTTATGTCCATCAAGAGATTTTCAAGATAATGGCAGTGCCATAGACTGTTTACATGTTTTAAATCTATTACGAACATTGGATGGTCCTTATCAACAAAATTGGTCGACATTTAAACGTTTATTTCTGGATACGAATGAGACGAATTGGTTGCCGTGTCTTTGGGGTGAAGCAGTTGATGATTGTTCACCATCAGATTTTGTTGATAGTCTAGTTGGATTAGGCAACATGTTAAGTCAAATTCAAACTGCTATGGAAAAAGAAGATTTCGATGGAACAATTAATATGGCGATGAATCAACATGAATTTTCTGGTGTACAGAATATTTTAAACGATTTAATTAAACCATCGAATATGGTTCACAATAATTTAATGACATCCTGGTTACCAATGTTGATAGAGACATATTTCAATGAATTATCAACGAGTACACTGTTCAATGCTCGTGCACCATTTCAACATCGTTCCATCATTGATAATCATCCTAATGGACCACTTAGTAATCTTTTAAAAAATCTTTCATTACCATCGGAATGGAATTCATCAATGCGACAACCGTTTCTACAATATGGTCAACATGTTTCAAACAATTTTTTCGATTTATTAAATAACGCTCCAGATCATGATATGACAATTAATGATTTGATTAAATATTATGAACCACCATTACAAACAAGTTCACAGGTATATCTTTAAGAATTTGTCATCTTTGAAGATGTGGATATTTATATTCACATTGAGTTGTTTCGCGAATAATTCTCTTTTCTTTTAGTCTGTAACAACATCATCTATTCCAAAACAAATCATTTCTCACGCAACAAATTCCTCATCAATTAACAAAGAAGAGTTTACCTTAGTTATTTTCGATCCTGATTTTGATATAAAAACTATTGAAGAAGATCAGTATCGTTCAATTAATGATTATGTCTTATTTTATGCTGAAAAATCTCAATTACTTTCCTCTATTCAATCAATCAATGAAGAAAAAATTCTTATTATTATTTTTGATCAAATATTCGATCGAAACTTTCTTGATCAATTACAAAATTTGAATCAAGTCGATTCAATTTCTATTTATTCTATTCAAGGAAATTATGATGAGTCCATCAAAAATGATTATTCAAAACTTATTGATATATATACAGATAAATTACTTTTATTTGAACAACTACGAATGAGAATTAAACAACTATCAACATTAATATTTGGTTTTCATAATGTCGAACGAATTTGTCCAACATTTGAAAAATTCTCCAAAGACAATGGAATCTTTTTTTGGAATTTATTATTGAAAGATTATTTGATGATCAATTCATCTGCAGATCAGAGTTTGTTAGTGGAAAAGTGTCGAGAATATTATCGAGGAAACGCAGATGAAATGGAAAATATCGAACTATTTGAAAAAACATATCGATCAGAAAATGCATTCGAATGGTATTTAAAACATTGTTTTCTTTCAAAACAATTGAATAAAGCATTTCGAACTGCGGATGTCGAACAATTGAAATTATTTCGGTTTTTTATTGATGATCTTTGTTCGAATATCAAATCAACGAATATAGTTCATCGTACAGTTATTTTATCTTTAGATCAATACGAAATGTTGTTAAAAAACATCGGACAATTAATGACATTCAGTGGACTTTTAATCAATGATACTATAGAAACTGAAACAATATACAGTTCGAGTAAAACACAAGTTATTGTTAAGTTTGAAGTAAAAAATATGAATTCCATTGATTTAAATAATATATTTCAATTGAATTCATTTGAATTTGATGACAATCTTCAATTATGGATCGCTCATTTAATGATGATCGATAATGGAAATGAAATTAAACAACAGTATCTTTCGATAAAACAACAAACAATGGAAAAAATGACATTATCAATTATAATGGGTGATTTGTTATTCACCTTTCAGAATTTATCAAAAGTTCAAAAATATTTTGAAAATCTACAAAATGAAGATGATGCGCTAATCTATAATTACTATGGAAACATAAATTATCTCAAAGGTGAATATGATTTGGCATTAGAAAATTTTCAAATATCATACGAATTAATGATAAGTGATGAACGTATAAAAGATACGGCATTTCTTCTACATGATATTGGATATGTTTATGATATGAAAAAAGATTATAAGGAAGCATATGATTATCATATGAGAGCATTAGAAATTAGACAAATATATTCTTCGGAAGACGATATACAAATTGGTATTAGTTTATATAATATTGGACGAACATTAGTTACTATGAATAATCATGATCAAGCGTTAATTTATCATCAAAAAGCATTAAATATATGGGAGAAAAAATTACCATTCAATCATCATTTAATAGCACAAAGTTTACATAGTCATGGAGTTGTTTATTTCAATAAACGAGATTATACACAAGCATCATATTATTATAAAAAAGCATTGGATTTGTATGAGAAAATAACACCTCGTGATGAACATGGTATTCTTATGATTAAAAATATTTTAGAACAAATTCAAGATCTTACTGCTCAACAATTAATCACATCATAAATAAATCATTGTTTTTGTCGATATCGGAGATCTTTATATAAACATATGTATTTAATATTTAAATACAAAAATCGATCATGAATTTTAAGATAATAAATAAAGACTTTATATCGATCTTTCAATAGCTGAACATCCCTCTCGGATTCACGGAATTACATTTCCTCCATTCCTTTCTTCCCTATGGAAAGGAAGAAAGACTGTAGCAGAAGTAACGAATATTCTATCCAAAATAAAATTATTTTCAAATTCGTTATAATTACTTGTCGAATTTACACCAAGTAATTTTTAATTACATGTCATTCTTTGTTTATAATGCATCCCATAAAGTGGATATAGTATAAGATGATGAGAATTTTTATCACGTAGAAATAAAGGCGAACATTCGTTACTATTCGGAAAATTATTAATCATTGTTAATAGATTGTGTGAAAATCTACCTTTAAAAGTAGAATAGAGAGGTAAGTAACCAATTGCATAGAGAATGAAATGGAAAATAATTGAAAGTATCAACATGACGAATTATAGTACTGTTTTATTGACATTCTTCTCAAGAGGAAAGAGAACTGATGTTTATTATATAGAACATGTAAGTCGGTAAAAACCGACTTCCTTTCCTTACCATCTATAAATTGCAAGATCAATTCGTTTCTCTTTCATTTTGTTACGAATAATAATGACAGATTGGACGTTTTTCAAATCAAGTGGAAAACTGTGCAAAACAGATACAAACGAATGTCGTCCGGCATATAGTGGTAGACCAGGTGAAACAGATCAAACAAAGAAATTCAAAGGTCCAATTCCAAATGGAGATTATACTCTGGATAAACCGAAAGGAAATTCGCGATTTCCTTTAATACCTGATAAATCAAATGAAATGTTTGGAAGATCGGCATTTCAAATTCATGGTGATAATAACAAACGAAATCAATCAGCTAGTGAAGGTTGTATTGTTACGGATAAAAGAAATGATTTCAAACAAGGTGATCGCCTTCATGTTCGAAACGATGAAGACAAAAATGGAAATTGTACAATCAGTTAATCGAACATCATTTTTTGATAATTCAGAAGAAGATTTTCGTCATAAATGTACGAACTATTTGATTAAAGATATAAATATTCAAAACATTTATATTGACTATCGATTTAAAGTGATTATAATCATGAAAATCGATCTGATCACGAATCAAAGTTATGTGTAAAAGATTCTCGTCTACCATTCTTGACAAATAAAAATGTTCGTTCGTCTGATAAAATTGTTTTTCTTCCAATTAATTCTGAGCGAAACTTTTACATTTCATCAATCGTATTTTTCCATAAGTGAAGATCGTTATTTATCCCTCTGGATTGACACAACAAAAGAAGCACTCCATTTACATGGTTATGACATAAACGCACAAACTTGGAATTCTTCAAATTACGAAGCATTTTCTAACTTTTCTTTTGCATCATCATACCAGTACACAGACATTCATCGTGAATTAGATCGAATAACGAATATTATCGCAATAAATGCTTCTCATATTGTTTGTCTTGGTATTAACAAAAATAATGAATATGAAATTTTTCTAATTAAGATCATTGTATATGTTTATAGTAGTATTATGTTGTATGATACTAAAATCCAAATCTTAAATGAACAAATCATTGAAAATGGTGGCGAAGATTATATTCTTGTTTTCGATCGAAGACTTTCCAATGATGTTTACATCTTTTCATCATCTGGAATAATTGTTTACAATTTAGAAACATATGAAATACAAATTTTCCTCTCAATTGATCATTCATCTGATTTACAATATTTTCGACAGAGATTTTTAAATATCATCGTTATTAATGAAAATCATTTGTTAATCGCAACTGAACATTTACCTGTTAAAGAAGAGTATTGGAGCGGTCCTCGTCTTGTTTATGTTCGCATCGATTTTAAGAATTCATCGTTGAATTTCACAATACTTGATTATAAAACCATTCATTTAACTGGAATCGAATGTGGTAACATTGCAGATATTTCAATTTCAATGTCGATAAACATCTTCGGTGATATTCTGATTGGAATTCCTTCGTGTGATTGTGTTTTCGTTTTTACTCTCGATTTCAACAAAATGAAATTTGGAAGCAGCGTCAAAAATATCTGTCCAGATGATCTCGCAGAGGAATTCGGTCATTCAGTTCAATGGATTCGTGATAATAGTCGTTTGTTTGCCGTACTTTCTTTTGATTGTGTAACGAATTTCGCGAAATCAGCAGTTTATTTTTACGATTACAATGATGAACGATTGATTATTCAAAATACATTTCCAAATAATCAACAAGAAATCGTAAATGAGGGTGGAATACCTTTTATCTATGAATTAATATCTGTTAAAGAGAATTACTTCGGAATTGTTATATATTATAGCAGAGAAGATTGGTATTTCTTATTAATGCCATTGGAAATAGTCGGAGGATATTTTATGAGTGGTTTCAATCTTGATTCCGACTATTCTGATACGTATCAATTAGGTAAAATCAGTATTTGTCCATCTGGAATGTATCGAAATTCCAATCAATTGATTGGACATTGTTCACATTGTCCATCAGGGGAAAAATCTCCATCAGATGGAAAAGCTCAATGTGAAAAATGTAAAAATATGAAGAAATGTTTATCATTGGGTACGATTAGTGAAGAATATGAATATGAAAATGTGATTCAAATTGTAAATTATCCATCAACATCTGATTCAAATTCGTTTGATGATATTATTTTATCGAATATTTTTCATTTTCGATGTCTTTTATATTCTCCGATATTTTGGATGTTTATTATTTTATCTGTAAGTTTGATTTTATTGATTTCCATAATCATTGCTTCGTATTTTCCGTCGACATTTCGTTATCGTTTGACAATTCTTCAAATCTTTTCTCAAATTGATTTAATCGGTCAAGGTCGTCTTTGGATTGGTGGAATCGCCTCATGTGGAATATTCGTATTGATCATCTTTTCGACATTATTCAGTATTGAATATCTTCATTTATATCCAATTGAAAATTCGAAATATTCATCATTTTCCTGTGATTCTCATGTATTAAATGCAAAATTCCGAAGTGGATTACAATTACTTGCTCTTCCAAAAAGTGATGAAGAACGTCCAATCTTTGATTTACTTGATGAACAACAATTTACAATTGTAATTAATTTCATAAATACAATAATTGATTGTACACCATCGATATTAAATCTAAAACAGGTAAATAATCATTTCTTTGTCACTCCATCATACAATTGTTCAAGAAATGAAACGAGCTCAACATTAACATTTCAAATTGAATCTTTAACACATTTTGCACACACAATTATTGAAATTGAATCTGTTTTATCCATATCAACGCTTCAAATTTGTTTACAAGGTTCGAACAAAACAATTGAAAATGGTAAATACGAAATTCGAACGTTATTTGCTTGTCAATTCTATTCTGATGTAAATCATACAATCAGTTCCATTCCTCATTTCGATATCATTTTAACAAAAGTGATTAATCAAACAGAAGCATTAGATGATTCTCAAACGAGAAAATATTCGGGTTTATGGATTCCATTGTTTAAAGGAAAAGACGTGACAACGAAAGGAATATTTCGATTGGAAAATAATTATCAAAGATATTCACGTTTAAGAACGCGAATAACAATTCAATTAGTCGAATCGGAATTTTTCATTGAAAATTATCAAGAACCAATTGCACGGAAATTTGAAATTCTTTTTCATAATTTTCTTTTTCTCGGTGTTTTCATTGAATTATTTTCATTGGTTTTCTTAATTATAAAACTAATTTTATTACCACTGGTTCGCATTATTTTCAAGCAAATTTTCAAATTTATTCATTTTTATCGTCATAAACCGAAACAACGCACAAGTCCTGTTCAAAAGACGACGTTTTAACAATTCTTTTTGTTGCCTGTGAAAATCTTGCCGATTTGTTCGTTCTTCTTGCATCTAAATGAAACATTCGGTTTCGAAAAGAGAGAAAAAAGATTTCTTCACCCTTGAATAAATTGTTGTTTATTCATTTTTTGCGTTCTACTCAGTCGAAATTCTTGAAAGATGTTCTCAGCAGTTCGATTTGTATCGATTGTCGATGCTTCTTCATGTCCAACAGCTAAGATTGTCTAAAGAAAATAACGAAATTCTTTTGTTTATATTCTTCTGTTGTTCTTACCGCTTTTTCCAAATAACTTTTTAATTCATCGAAACTGATCAGTCCATCACCTGATGTGTCCATTCTAAATCAAAACCTTCTTATTTTCAATATTTCTCACAGAGAAAACTCACATTTCGAAAGAAAAGTCCAAAATACTGTTCATATCAGTTTTGCTTTGTGCCAAAATTGCGAAGACAAATTCAGTGAAATTTATGTGACCATCATGATTGGTATCGAATGCCGAGAATGTATTACTTCAAATAAATTTCTGTCAAAATCGATGTGAATAACAAATCTTACTTTGCTAAGATTCCATCTTCATCGTCGCATCCAGCTGATTTCTTATAATATCGATGAAATTCATCTTTGCTGATCTTTCCATCACCTGCTCCGCCACTTTTTTGAAATTCCTGAGAAGAAAATCTCGTCTCTCTTCTGAGTGTTCTCTGAACTTACTTCGTATATCTCTCGAATTTCTAAATTAAATTAGAAAGAACAATTTCACATAAAGATTCGCATATTTTGTTTACCTTTTTCACTTAATTTTGAATTCGCTTTCAATGCAGCGATTTCTAAATCAATGAGTCGTTTTTTTTTCTGAGCAAAAAAGCCTAAGAACTGACCTCCATCACCCAATGTTGCAGAGTGACTTTGTAAAATTTCGTTGCCCATAATTATCTTGTTTTTGAGTAAAATAACTCTGCTGTGTTAAATATGATTGTATATTTATACAGGTAATGGAGTTTGAATTTAATGAATGGTTGATTGATAAAACGCCTCGCGCAAAATATCAAACATTACGTATCATTTATTTGTTTAGAAAAAGAAAAAAACATTAAATTGTTATCGATTAGGTGATCAGACATTACAAATCAACATCATAGTATTCAAAGTATTCGATATAATACAAAAAATATAAATCACAGGGCAAAACGACTCGAGCAAAAAGAAATGTAAGACAACGGTTTTTATTTTGCTATATTGACGAGTTTTTCGAGTAAAATCTTCTCAATTATAACATATTGATTATCAGACGTTGAGTACGCTATTAGCGGGCAATAGTATATAATATTGTGTTAAAAATAAATGAACACGAAGATCAATTGATCTTCTTACACACATAATGCAAAATAACTCACTGGCTCACATCATTCATCGATTCCGCGATTGTTCTCTGACAACAATCCTGCTTTCGCCGACTACAAGAACGAGCGTCAAACTCATATAAATGGATGAAAACAGGATGGACACTTTCACATTCTTTAACATAGAGGAACAACATTAATGTGTAAATGCCTGTAGTTGACGAAACTGCATCAATTGGTGCTTCTTCAATCGGAACATTTTTTATTTTTGAAGGCATTGAAAATCTGGATACAACGAAACAAATTTAAGAGAATACATTGTATGTTCCTCAACGCTGCACATTGTGGAATCAGTTCCATCTTCAGACTGAACTCTTTCGATTCCGCGAGCGAAACAAGTTCCCAAATGTTCAGCATTGCGGAATAGAATGACTGCTCAAATTGAAAAATTCATGTCAAGTTTCGAATGCGCCTATCTTTACGTTGTTCACAACCCGATATATTCTGATCATACGATTCATTTGAGTTTTCACCAGAAATACTTCAGCAACGTTTATTATGCTATTCTTATAGTTTTCCAAACAAATGTACAGTGTACATTGTCAACAAGGACCGTACTTTAACTATCTCACATCCAACAGATTCCAAAAGTATTGAAAATTTTTTTAAAAGTTTAAACATGAATTACAGCTCACTAAATGTCCACTCGATTAGCAAGTTTATCCTCTATTCAGTGGTTCATTGAACATCTCCATGACATACTCCACAAGAGAGATCATCTCTTTAATGGAACGCACGTGTATACGGTAAAGATCATGTTGTTTTCTGATCAGCAAGTTTGGTTGTTGAAAATGAGTTTTATTTGACATAAAATTACCAAGTGTGTATGTTATTTGTGATGCAAATGAACATATTTTGGTAGTCGGAGATTGAAATAATAATAAAAGAGTATGTATTACTTTCCTGTCACGGNAAGGAATAGTATGCATTAATGGTTTGAAGATGAAAGAAAAATATTGTGGAACAGAATCGATTTCATTTCTTCCAACATCCACGATTACAACTACGGGTCAAACGGCGATCAATTCAGCAAGTGCAGAAGTCAAATTTAAATGTAATTCATCATCAATCGCACTTGATGAACAATTTGAAAATACATTAAATTCTATTCGACGAATAAAAGCACAAGAGAATATCGAATGTCTACAACCAAAATATAGCTTAGTCTGTAATGCTTTTCTTAGGTCACTATCACAATTTGCATTACCTCTAATGAATATAATTGCTGAAGCTGAAAATCTTAATTTACAAACATTTAAAGATCTTATTAGTTTAACATCACCAATATATAATATACAAATGCCACAAGTAATTAAAGTTCGATTAAATTTTTTACTTGAATTCTATGAAAAATATAAACATCTTGGAAATAAATCTCTATTAGAAGATTACATTGAATATGGACAATTATGTATTAATAATGAAGCTGATTTCGTTCCAGCTTTACAACTTGATTTTTGGCCAGATGATATTCAATCGTTTTTGGAAAGGATTCATCGTCATCGTCCACAATTGTATCAATTAATCATTGATACAACTTCAATGCATTTAATACCAAAATGGTCAGAAAAAACAGCAAAAATCGATGAAGAACTAGAATTTCGATATTCATTTTCTGAAATCGAACGTACATTAGCAATGAATCGTACACGAGTAGAACAAATTCTCAATGGCGTCGCAAGAAGTATCTATTATAAATATTTAAAACATCGATTATTAATACCATCCTATTTTATCAAAACGACTGTACTATGGATGTGTGAATTAAGAAATCTTAATGAGCAATTTACAGATCAAGATGATGATCGAACTATTGCTCTTGTCTTAGCTGAACAATGGCTTGCATACGTTAAAGAGATGTTATCGATTGGTGTCTGTAAACATTATTTTATCGATGAAATGAATCTCTTAGGATCATGTTCAACAGAAACATTACAAACTGCAATAGTTATTCTTGAACATGAAGTGGATTTGGATGCTGATGAGAAAATTAATATATTTATTGAACAGAAGAATTTGCTTAATCAACAACGACATACAATGGAGAATTGGTTAGGAAATATGAAAGTGAAAGATATTTTAGATGCAATGAACGAATATAAATTATTGAAAGAGAAGTGGTTATGTTCATCAAGAGATTTTCAAGATGATGGTAATGCCATAGATTGTTTACATGTTTTAAATTCATTACGAACATTGGATGGTCCTTATCAACAAAATTGGTCGACATTTAAACGTTTATTTCTTGATACAAATGAGACAAATTGGTTGCCATGTCTTTGGGGTGAAGCAGTTGATGATTGTTCACCATCAGATTTTGTTGATAGTCTAATTGGATTAGGCAACATGTTAAGTCATATTCAAACTGCTATGGAAAAAGAAGATTTCGATGGAACAATTAATATGGAGATGAATCAACATGAATTTTCTGGTGTACAGAATATTTTAAACGATTTAATTAAACCATCGAATATAATTCATAATAATTTAATGACTTCCTGGTTACCAATGTTTACAGAGACATATTTCAATGAATTATCAACGAGTACACTATTCAATGCTCGTGCACCATTTCAACATCGTTCTATCATTGATAATCATCCTACTGGACCAATTAATAATCTTTTAAAAAATCGTTCATTACCATCAGAATGGAATTCATCAATGCGACAACCGTTTCTACAATATGGTCAACATGTTTCAAACAATTTTTTTGATTTATTAAATAACGCTCCAGATCATGATATGACAATTAATGATTTGATTAAATATTATGAACCACCATCACAAACAAGTTCACAGGTATATCTTTAAGAATTTGTCATCTTGAAGATGTGAATATTTATATTTACACTGAATTATCTCGCGAATAATTCTCTTTTTTTTTAGTCTGTAACAACATCATCTATTCCAAAACAAATCATTTCTCACGCAACAAATTCTTCATCAATTAACAAAGAAGAATTTACCTTAGTTATTTTCGATCCTGATTTTGATATAAAAACTATTGAAGAAGATCATTATCGTTCAATTAATGATTATGTCTTATTTTATGCTGAAAAATCTCAATTACTTTCCTATATTCAATCGATCAATGAAGAAAAAATTCTTATTATTATTTTCGATCAAATATTCGATCGAAGCTTTCTCGATCAATTACAAAATTTGAATCAAATCGATTCAATTTCTATTTATTCTATTCAAGGAAATTATAATGAGTCCATCAAAAATGATTATCCAAAACTTATTGATATATATACAGATAAATTACTTTTATTTGAACAACTACGAATGAGAATTAAACAACAATCAACATTAATATTTGGTTTTTACAATGTCGAACGAATTTGTTCAACATTTGAAAAATTCTCTAAAGACAATGGAATCTTTTTTTGGAATTTATTATTGAAAGATTATTTGATGATCAATTCATTTGCAGATCAAAGTTTATTAGTGGAACAGTGTCGAGAATATTATCAAGGAAATTTAGACGAATTGGAAAATATTGAACGATTTGAAAAAACATATCGACCAGAAAATGCATTGGAATGGTATTTAAAACATTGTTTTCTTTCAAAACAATTGAATAAAGCATTTCGAACTGCGAATGTAGAACAATTGAAATTATTTCGTTTTTTTATTGATGTTGTTACAGACTAAAAAAAAAGAGAATTATTCGCGAGATAATTCAGTGTAAATATAAATATTCACATCTTCAAGATGACAAATTCTTAAAGATATACCTGTGAACTTGTTTGTGATGGTGGTTCATAATATTTAATCNGCATCATCATACCAGTACACAGACATTCATCGTGAATTAGATCGAATAACGAATATTATCGCAATAAATGCTTCTCATATTGTTTGTCTTGGTATTAACGAAAATGATGAATATGAAATTTTTCTAATTAAGATCATTGTATATGTTCATAGTGGTACTATGAATATGGATACTAAAATCCAAATCTTAAATGAACAAATCATTGAAAATGGTGGTGAAGATTATATTCTTGTTTTCGATCGAAAACTTTCCAATGATGTTTACATCTTTTCATCATCTGGAATAATTATTTACAATTTAGAAACATATGAAATACAAACTTTTCTCTCAATTGATCATTCATCTGATTTACAATATTTTCGAGAGAGATTTTTAAATATCATCGTTATTAATGAAAATCATTTGTTAATCGCAACTGAACATTTACCTGTTAAAGGAAATTATTGGATTGGTCCTTGTCTTGTTTATGTTTATATCGATTTGAAGAATTCATCGTTGAATTTCACAATATTTGATTATAAAATTATAAATTTAACTGGAATCGAATGTTATGACACTGCAGATATTTCAATTTCAATGTCGATAAATATTTTCGGTGATATTCTGATTGGAATTCCTTCGTGTGATTGTGTTTTCGTTTTTACTCTCGATTTCAATGAAAACAACTTTGGAAGAAATGTCAAAAATATCTGTCCAGATGATGTTGGAAAGGAATTTGGTCATTCAGTTCAATGGATTCGTGATAATAGTCGTTTGTTTGCCGCACTTTCTTTTGATTGTTTATCGAATTTCGCGAAATCAGCAATTTATTTTTATGATTACAATGATGAACGATTAATTATTGAAAATACATTTCCAAATAATCAACAAGAAATCGTAAATAATCATAAAATACCTTTTATCTATGAATTAATATCTGTTAAAGAGAATTATTTTGGAATTGTTATATATTATACCAAAGCAAATTGGTATTTCTTATTAATGCCATTGGAAATAGTCGAAGGATATTTTATGAGTGGTTTCAATCTTGATTCCGACTATTATGATACATATCAATTAGGAAAAATCAGTATTTGTCCATCTGGAATGTATCGAAATTCCAATCAATTGATTGGACATTGTTCACTTTGTCCATCAGGTGAAAAATCTCCTTCAGATGGAAAAGCTCAATGTGAAAAATGTGAAAATATAAAGAAATGTTTATCATTGGGTACAATTAGTGAAGAATATGAATATGAAAATGTAATTCAAATTGTAAATTATCCATCGACATCTGATTCAAATTCGTTTGATGATATTATTTTATCGAATATTTTTCATTTTCGATGTATTTTATATTCTCCAATATTTTGGATGTTTATTATTTTATCTATAAGTTTGATTTTATTGATTTCCATAATCATTGCTTCGTATTTTCCGTCAACATTTCGTTATCGTTTGACAATTCTTCAAATCTTTTCTCAAATTGATTTAATCGGTGAAGGTCATCTTTGGATTGGTGGAATTGCCTCATGTGGAATATTCGTATTGATCATCTTTTCAACATTATTCAGTATTGAATATCTTCATTTATATCCAATTGAAAATTCGAAATATTCATCATTTTCCTGTGATTCTCATGTATTAAATGCAAAATTCCGAAGTGGATTACAATTACTTGCTCTTCCAAAAAGTGATGAAGAACGTCCAATCTTTGATTTACTTGATGAACAACAGTTTACAATTGTAATTAATTTGATAAATACAATAATTGATTGTACATCATCAATATTAAATCTAAAACAGGTAAATAATCATTTCTTTGTCACTCCATCATATAATTGTTCAAGAAATGAAACAAGTTCAACATTAACATTTCAAATTCAATCTTTAACACATTTTGCACATACAATCATTGAAATTGAATCTGTTTTATCCATATCAACACTTCAAATTTGTTTACAAGGTTCAAACAAAACAATTGAAAATGGTAAATATGAAATTCGAATGTTATTTCCTTGTCAATTCTATTCTGATGTCAATCATACAATCAGTTCCACTCCTCATTTCGATATTATTTTAACAAAAGTGATTAATCAAACCGAAGCAATAGATGATTCTCAAACGAGAAAATATTCTGGTTTATGGATTCCATTGTTTAAAGGAAAAGATGTGACAACGAAAGGAATATTTCGTTTGGAAAATAATTATCAAAGATATTCACGTTTAACAACGCGAATAACAATTCAATTAGTTGAATCGGAATTTTTCATTCAAAATTATCAAGAACCAATTGCACGGAAATTTGAAATTCTTTTTCATAATTTTCTTTTTCTCGGTGTTTTCATTGAATTATTTTCATTGATTTTCTTAATTACAAAACTAATTTTATTACCAATGGTTCGCATTATTTTCAAGCAAATTTTCAAATTTATTCATTTTTATCGTCATAAACCGAAACAACGCACAAGTTCTGTTCAAAAGACGACGTTTTAACAATTCTTTTTGTTGCCTGTGAAAATCTTGCCGAGTTGTTCGTTCTTTTTGCATCTAAATGAAACATTCGGTTTCGAGAAGAGAGAAAAAAGATTTGTTCACCCTTGAATAAATTGTTGTTTATTCATTTTTTGCATTTTACTCAATCGAAATTCTTGAAAGATGTTCTCAGCAGTTCGATTTGTATCGATTGTCGATGCTTCTTCATGTCCAACAGCTAAGATTGTCTAAAGAAAATAACGAAATTCTTTTGT